TAAAGCTGTGGGGGCACCGCCCCCACGGCCCCAGAGTTGGAGAATGGGGTAAACTCCCCACTGCCCCCCCCCCCCGTTCCCGCGCCTATGAATTAGAGAAAACAAAACAATGCGTTCAAAGAATCGTAACAGTGATGCCAGCACCAACTTTGGTTTTGCGTGCCCAGAGCCCCTTGGGGGGTGCCCAATTCAACATTGGGGGTGCCCGGGCACACCCAAAAGTATGCAAATCGACACCTATGCCATCACCGCCGCCGAGGGGGGAGGGAGGGGTGCCGCCCTCTGAAGGTTTTTAGTGATTGCCTGGACGCGTCGGCGATAGAGAGCTAAAAGCTGGCGCACCTGACCTGGCTTTGACCCAAGCCGTATCTTGTGACATCAACTGCGTGTTCAGCTCAGGTCAGTCAGGTCACTGAACTATGACGTCACAAGTGAACCTCCGCACGGCTCTAAAATGTCGCAACTTCGCAACACCCTCAGCGCCAGAAGATCCCTCATAGGGAGATGATGCTAACGAGGGTTTCAGCCTAGATATGGCCTTAGTTTGTAGCCTCCCAAGACCCCACAACCTGTATATCTCGGATTTTTCTTGAAGGTCATTTGGGGTCAGGTCGATCATATCACCGCGCCATTTTTTTATAATAAATTTAGTCCGAACATTTTGAATGGAAGGATTTACAATGACAGAGCCCCCGCTAAGCGAATATTGTTGCGTTGACCCTGCCCTCTACCCTCCGATCGCGCAATAGCAGTTCTATGGCAGAATTTGGATCCGAAGTTTAACGTGCGCACATAGCCGCGCACGACCGGTCCCCTCACTGACTTCGCCTGGCTACGGCCTGCCACCAACCGCAGCCATACCTGTCAGGAGGCTCATAAACTTCAAGCGCCCGTCGCGCTTCGAACCTGGACTGTTATAACCGGGAACGCGTGCTCTCACCAAGCGAAGTCCAACGCTCTACCGACTGGGCTACCGGACTGGCATTGTTAGTCAATGGAGGTGCTAATAGCTACATCACAGAGTCATGAACAGAGTCTTCTCTTTCTGTCGTTTTTCTACATATTGAATGCACTGCACATCTCCGTTGATTTTCAAAGTTAAATACAAAATGGTGCTGAGTATGTGCATTTTATTGTGGGTCTGGTGTCGCTGTTATTGACGAGGCTGCACTTCTCTGGTGATCCTGGGAAGTTCGACCGTGTTTTAGTAAATAGCGACTGCCGTCTTGGCCTCTGAACGATTCGCTTCGGGGTACGACCGACCTAATTTTCATGTCGTTACTGCGTCATTCGCCCAGTTCCACCAAGATCAGATTGGTGTATGCCATTAATCCTCACTTGTCGCATTAGAAGTCCAATGTTGTATTGAAAATATTATTTATTTTGTATAAATCTAGCCAGCCCAGGGGCAGCCCAGTGTCTTTCCACGGTTCTTTCAATCTGATATTCTGTTGATTAAAAACAAAACTTCTTTTGCTTGCAACACACGGAGAAGTACGGATGCTGCTTATTTTACCGCAAGAAAAGATCTAATCCTTTTTCAAGCACTTGGAATCGTAGTTTCATATCTTACGAGTACTTCCAAGGAACGCGATGTCATGACAAAATTATTATGACTTTTGAGTAAAAACTTATTGCAGAAACACATTTTCCGCAAGATCGGCTATTTTAGAGTTTTTGCCGTTTGGAGGCTAAACGGTTGACCTTAGGTCAAATCGGATGGCACGTTCTTGAAAGAGTGGTAAAAGATCTTTCGAATGGGTTTTCCGCGGCGCTGTAGCTTTATTGGCTACATCTCGACTTAATGGCTACATCAGTGGCTACATCACTAGTTATGCGCCCGGCGTCGCGCCGCTGCTGGTGTTTCGTCGGCTCGACCTCTCCCGCTGTGGTGCGCCCGTGCGCGCCGCTGCACCCTCACGTCTCCGCCACTCTGCCCCCCGCGGCTGCTTAGGCCCGGGCCGAGATGTGTCGGCGGAACTACCGGGTTTGATAACTAGCCGATACCTTGGGATTGTGGGAGGATGGTATAGGCATTGATGGAAGTACGCGCTGTGCAATTTTCGCTACCAATCACTACGTTTCCATGACACGTCTAAATCGATTTAGCGAAATTTCACGTGCGTTTTTCTCGGAAACTATTTACCTTATGCAAAAAATGAGCGTATATATGGTGTCAGCTAGCACCTAATCCTATATTTACATTTTTAAATTATGCCTAAATGCTATGATGGAGCAAATCCATTTTTCAAAATCGGCTTAGCTTGTGTCATGGAAACGTAGCCAATGTGTCACCTTCCGTCCACGATCGTTTCGTGTCCGGTGAGATGAAATGTAGCATCGAGTGTCGTCATGATTGTGTCATGTTGTGATATGCTGATGAATAAAGTTATGTATAAAAAAGTTATGCGCCGATTTGTCAAGAGTTGTTGAACATTGAAACGTGACCTGACCTTTGACCTGACCTAAAATAAATGACCAAAGTACTTTCTTTGTTATTTTTTACGCTCTTTTGAATGCTGCTTACCGCGTGTCGCTACGTGGCCCAGGACCTGAGTTAGGCGGGGGGGGGGGGGCATGAACCCCCTAGCACGACACGGAAAACTTGGACCACCAGCACGGCTTGGGTTAACCTGAAATCAGCCCCCAACTTGACCTTTTTCCAACCATTAGTTTATCATCCGACGTGGCAACACAAGACAAATGCTATGATCCGAACATCGTTGCTCTTGCCTCTTCCACCACCCTTGACGAAAGCTTTTTACCAAAAACCCGACTCCGACCTTAGGGTCGTTGAACTGACCTGAGCTCACCGGTTGACCTGATGCCTGAAAATCGGATACCACTCGCTGTATCTTGTGGCAGCCAACACGCCCGTTCTCCTCCTCCTCCAAAATATGGACCAATTAGGGGAAAACGGCATGGGCGTAGGAACCTCACGAAAAGTGGGGGGGCCAGCGAAACTTCAATGTCACTTTGTGGGAGCCCCAATACCCCTATGAAGAAATTCTTTGCAGTTTTGTGCTCATCTCACCTTGCTGAATCATTTCCTGCTCTTAGTTTTGTATTTAAATAAAAAATAAAGATTTTACTTTAAAAAATGGCTAAAAAGTGGGGGGGGGCCATGGCCCCCCCGGCCCCCCCTGTTCCTACGCCTATGGAAAACGGCCAGAGGGTGATCGTGCCTATTAGTAAAGTTATCTTGATCGTATCCCCCTCGACCGAAAGGTATCTAGAAAACCGATATAGTTTTGACAATCAATGAGAATGCCAAATAGCCCACGAATGGTTGACATCTAAATCTTTGAAATAAAGTTATTAAATCGTGGCGTGCCCGCTTAATCGTTTCACTTTTTTGTCCGCATTAGGTATTAAATAGCTATCGATTTCAAGATTTCCTATCAGCTATAATTATTAGGTCCCTTGAAAGTTATTCTGGACTGTTATTTAAATTGTCTTATTTAACAAGTGTCCTCATTTTCTTTATTTTTTCTTTTATTTCATTTTGTCTGATTTACTTTAGTAATGTTTTATCGGAATGGTATTTTGCACCTACCTAGCTGTAATAAACGCGTTATAACATAAAATGCCGCCTCTGCTGCACAAAAAGCAGCCCGAGTGTCTGAGACCAGCTTTCCAGCGTCCAACGTTCAGTGACCAGCGTATGCCCTAACAGGGCCGACCTCCCCCCCCCCCCCCCCCCCACCCCCACCCCCCACCCCCCCCACACACACACTCAGTTCTCTTTGTGTGACAGCCCGAAACGGGCGAGTGTGGGTCATGGGCCACGCGCTCCGAAAAACCGGCACGCCCTTTTTGAGCGCCCATTGGACACCCGAGTCCGGTGACGGTCGTATTCAGCAGGCTCCTCAAACGGTGCCCGGCGGCGTTTTTGCCCATTATTGAGGTGTCGTACCGTATCACGTATGCAGTACGTCAGTGCTGCGTTTTAACGTCATGGAGGGATTGACGGATGTGTGACAGGAGCTATTTGATTCATGGAATAAGTAGCGTGGCTGGAAAAGTAGGACGATTGTCGTGTCTTGTCCAGGGCTCCAAAGTCGGGGTAGAGTGTTCATTGCTCCGTGCTGTCCGATTCCGACTACGACCTACCATAAGCATAATCCCTACACCCTACCCATTTACTTGATTTTTAGTAAGTGAAATAGGTTTTTTTCATAGACATGTTTTTCGTTTTCCAGATGTTTTTTTCACCCTTTACTGCTTGACATGTTAACTCATGATGCAGAGCCCCCCCCCCCCCCCCCTAAATAGACACATCTTATAACCCGTGACGACGTTGCTTCTCGCTGTTCATAAGCCGCAATACCCAAGATTTATTAGGTACAGATAATAAAACCGTCTGCCTAATATTGTGTTGCAATATATATCCAATTTCGATGAAGCGTGATTTCATAACATCGCAATTTGCCATATTGTATCAAACTTTTTTACTTTGACCTTTGAAGCGAATCCTAAAACCTTTAACCGAACGAATCAAACATAAGTCAATTTTTCAAAAGTTGCCCATTGCCCAATCTCCATGCGTTTCCATGCTCTATTCCTGGTGCTGTTGATGCCTCCCCGTACCGAGTGGCCCTGCGGTCGTCGGACTTGCACCAGTACTGCCATATCATGTTTTACGGACATTTGCAGCTCCGGACGGGCCTGGCAGACCGCCTGCCCGGCTAGCTTCATGTCTCTCCCGCCCACTACCCCGCCGGCAGTTTTCTCCCCCCGCCCCTTCCGCCCCCTGTGTACAGCTCTGCCCCGGCCTTGGCTCGTGGCCAGCTGCCGGCGGCGTGCCCTCATCTAGTGACCGTTTTTGTGTGCTTTGTGCGCGTCGGCTGTGCCGGGCGGGAACGGAGACCGACCGTGCCTGACCGGACGCCTCAGTCGCCCCGCTGTGTCGGGCGGGACAGCAGCTCATTCCTCCCCGAACCGGGCGGGGCTGACCGGGGCCTATCGTAGCTAACCTGACCTGACCTGACCTGACCCAGGCGGCGGCGATGGCGGAGAGCGGTGACAACACGGTGGTGGCCGGGCAGCTGCGGCGCATGCTGGCCTGCCTGGCATCCTACCGTGTCGAGCCGCTGGTGTTCACGGTCACACTGGCGGGGACGCTGATAATGGCCACCTCACAGGTGAGACAATGGGACCGCAAGGTGAGATGAGGTCAGTGAATCCCGTAGGTGACCCCACAGGTGACGTGAACTAATGGCAGGTCACGGCTATCTGGCGATGGAAAGAGATTTGCAGGTGAATGAATGTGAACCCTCAGGTGAGGTAGTGACTCGCAGATGAAGTTGAAAAAACACAAGTGAGGTGAGTTCATTTCCGTGTGACAGAACATTGAGCATAACCTACAGATGAAGTGATCGGACGCCGAGGAAGTAACTTTTTTTGTAAATGAGACGACGGATTTATTTGTTTTGTGTTTGTTGTCAATAATTATTCACATCTGGATAGTTGATCGTAATTCATTTACATTTTTTTCACTTTACCCAGTAGTTAATGTGTTTTACCAGAATGTAACTTTTTGTATGTTTTGTTTTGTAATGATTGTCATAATACCTCCGAGCATCAGCATTATAATCAGTCCTACCCTTCCCCACCAAATAGGTACAAACATGGAGCAAGACACCAGCATATTACGGGTAATGCAATCCCTTGATCACTGGTAAAGGGGAATACCTACATGAAGTACCTACCTACAATATATGTGTTACAGGGAGTATGAGAAATCAGTTAGTTTGCAAACTACCTAGGGAGTTTGCAAACTCCCTGAACGATCAGGTAGTTTGCAAACTCCCTAGGTAGTTTGCAAAGTCCCTAGTTAGTTTGCAAACTCCCTAGGGTTGTTGCAAACTACCTATAGGTAAAATGCAAAAACGACGAAACAACAGCCATATACGAGTACATATGTAGATAAGACGCGATGAATTGGTTCATAGCTCAGAATGAAGCTTGGCAGCAATGGTGCATAACGAGACGATGTGGTGTTTTGATGACGCTCTTTCGCAGCTAACTATTTATTTTTGTCTTGCTCGCAAATATCACCTTACAGATTAATGTCTCCCTTTTTTCTTGTAGTCGACAACATGTTACGTTGCCATCCACCTCCTTTCCTTGGACGTCAGCGGCCTCTCCTCCACCGGTCTGGCGTCCATCAGAAAGCGGATGACGTCGCCATGCTCGGCGTCTTCCACGACTCGAGTTATGCCGCTCAACGCTTCCTCCCACTCCCGGAACCTCTGATCGAACAGTTCGTGAGACATCGCCACAGAACCACAGAGCAACCACAGAACAGAAATTGCGATCACTATGCTGCCTCTCCACACTCCGCTCAGCACTGATCCGCCTGCACTGAGCACCGTTCACCAGCCGTGACCCGACAGCGCCTTTCATCCGTATCCCGCAGGCACACACTGACCTGACCTGTCAAGCTCGGGGCAGTCGACTGCTGGCTACCAGGATCGGGTGGAAGCGGGGCGTTGGGTTGACTGGTAGGTACTATCATATATTTTCCGTTTTTTCGAAACTTAAAAAACTGTTTTTGATTTTTTGGGTAATATATCTAATTTCATTTTTCATTTTTGGGGGCCAAAAATCAAAAAATTTAAAAATTCGAGATTGCAGATTTGTAGCCCTGTTGATTTCACACCTTTTATGTCTTGATCATTTTTCTATATCTTCAAAGCTGTACAGGGTGCGCCATAAAGATTTACCCATTACAAACTTGTTCGCCAAAACTTTATTTTTAGACATAGAGGTCCGAAAATTGCGCATGCGCGAGGCAAACACGTGACTTTTATGTAAAACAAATTATTTTTTAGGTGAATGACACAGTTTATGCACCATGACCCGGACAAGCAGACGTGACAAAATCGTTGCACTAAAAAATGCCGGCTTCACTGACCGGGCCGTTGCAAAAGCGGTCGGTGCGTGCCGTAAAACCATTTACAATGTAATGAAACGGTACAATGAGAATGGCACAACATCTGACAGACCAATTCCAGGCAGAAAACGATCTGTACTAACTTCAAGTATCACCGAGGCCGTAAAGAAGAGAATAGCCAGAAATCCAAGGAGGAGTTTGAGGGAGATGTCAAAAGAGATGCATATCTCACCAACGTCTTTGAGGAGACTCGTGAAAGGGAGGCTAAGAATGAAGGCCTACAAGATGTCAAAGCGGCACATGATTTCAGAAAGTTCCAAGAAAAAGCGACTGAGCAGGGCAACAACAATGTTGGAAGAGATGAAGTCCGCCGGTCAAAAGGCCTTTATCTGGTCGGATGAGAAGATTTTCAACGTAGAGTCAGTATCCAACAACCAAAACGACCGGGTATACGCCAAGAGTACCGAAGACATACCTGCAACAAAAAAGTATCATTTTCGAAGACAGAAACCAGAAAGCATGATGGTTTGGGCTGCTGTTGGCTCTGACGGCTCCAAATCTCCTCTGGTCTTCGTGGAACCTGGAGTCAAGGTCAACAGCGCCATCTACGTGCAGATGCTGGAGAGGGAAGTGCTCCCTTGGCTGAAGGAGAGGTACGGCGACCAGTATGTCTTCACTCAAGACGGTGCTCCGGCCCACACAGCGGCCAACACCCAGAGCTGGTGCCGGCAGAACATGAGCGCGTTCTGGTCCAAGGACTGTTGGCCTCCGTCCAGCCCAGACTTAAACCCCATGGACTTTTCCATCTGGTCTATCTTAGAGAGCCAGGCTTGCCACGTCCCCCACAGCAGCTTGGTCGACCTGCGACGCGACCTCCTCAGAGCGTGGAGGGGGATCAGCGAGGAGACCGTGCGGCGGACGTGCGCTGAAGTGCCCTCGCGTCTCAGACGTGTGATCAAGGCAAAAGGCGAACACATCTGAAATCGGCCAGACTAGCCTGTTCGGAGATAGTCTCGTGACTTGTGTGCAAAAAATGGCTTACCTATGTCAACTCGTTTGGAAATACAGTGCATTTTTTGATGGGTAAATCTTTATGGCGCACCCTGTAGGTCTGACAGCTCTTCTCGCGAAGCACTTTTTTCGGTCGAAAATGGCAGAACATTACGTTATTCTGACGTCATTTATGGCCAACCTATCATAGCCTGTGGAAAAATTTTGGTTAAAATGTGTAAAATTGATGCCCGGAGAAGTCCTGAAAGTTTGATGGCGATAGCTGCAGCCGTTTAGGAGATATTGACGGGAAAGGACAGGGGGGGGGGGCCGTTTCGGCCCCGCCCCCCCCCCTACGGGGCGCGGGTTAGAAATCAGGATATCATTTTTAGTCAACCCAACGCCCCACTTCCACCCGATCCTGGTAGCCAGCAGTCGACTGCCCCGAGCTTGACAGGTCAGGTCAGTGTGTGCCTGCGGGATACGGATAAAAGGCGCTGTTGGGTCACGGCTGGTGGACGGTGCACAGTGCTGGCGGGTCATCTGTGCTGAGCGGAGTGTGGAGAGGCAGCATAGTGATCGCAGTTTCTGTTTTGTGGTTGCTCTGTGGTTCTGTGGGGATGTCTCACGAACTGTTCGATCAGAGGTTCCGGGAGTGGGAGGAAGCGCTGAGCGGCAATAACTCTCGAGTCGTGGAAGACGCCGAACATGGCGACGTCATCCGCTTTCTGATGGACGCCAGACCGGTGGAGGAGAGGCCGCTGACGTCCAAGGAAAGGAGGTGGATGGCAACGTAACATGTTGTCGACTACAAGAAAAAAGGGAGACATTAATCTGTAAGGTGATATTTGCGAGCAAGACAAAAATAAATAGTTAGCTGCGAAAGAGCGTCATCAAAACACCACATCGTCTCATTATGCACCATTGCTGTCAAGCTTCATTCTGAGCTCTAAACCAATTCATCGCGTCTTATCTAAATATGTACTCGTATATGGCTGTTGTTTCGTCGTTTTCGCATTTTACCTAGGTAGTTTGCAACAACCCTAGGGAGTTTGCAAACTAACTAGGGACTTTGCAAACTACCTAGGGAGTTTGCAAACTACCTGATCGTTCAGGGAGTTTGCAAACTCCCTAGGTAGTTTGCAAGCTAACTGATTTCTCATACTCCCTGTAACATATGCAATATAAACAAATCAACTATTAACGCCTAAGTTCCAGGTTTAATTTCGCGTATTTGTCTACATCAAGCATGAATGAAACCTAGCCATGTTCTTCCAACGCTTACTCAGAAACAAACACTAAGGTTTTCTCGTTCTGTTGAGTGTTTTTTTTTTGGGGGGGGGGTCCGCTTTCTGCCTGACGTGTTGTTTTAACTTTTAGTAAGAGCCAGAGTGGAAGGATGACCTCAGATGTTTTGTGGTTTTGGGCGTTGTTTATTTACATTCAGCCCACATCATTTTAATGAACCGTGGAAAAGAGCGCCGCCGTTTGGTTTGGCTGGCTATCCGCGCTTATTTATGTTGAGGTCATATGCAGACACAGCTCCCTTACTGTAGAAAATTAATGATAAGGCGACCCGTCTTATGAAACAATACATGTAAGTAGACTTTAAAAGCAGTACGGAAACCTACGGAAAGTAGTACTTTCGCATTACTTTACTTTTTGTTAATAGCTCATGGTTGAGACGATTACTGTATTTTAACTTCCAATGTTCGTAACGTAAACAGTCCAATTTTTTTTTTCAAGTAATGTCGCACGACTGCCCCAATGGTAACTTTGTTCTACCCTAAAATGCGGCAAGTGCTCCACTCTTTTCCAGTACCCCCCCCCCCCCCCCCGCTGACCCGCGTCCCTTGCCTCCCCCGACCCGTGTCCCTTGCCTCCCCCGACCCGTGTCCCTTGCCGCCCCCGACGCGTGTCCCTTGCCGCCCCCGACACGTGACCCCTTGCCTCCCCCCGACACGTGTCCCTTGCCGCCCCCGACACGTGACCCCTTGCCTCCCCCCGACACGTGTCCCTTGCCTCCCCCGACCCGTATCCCGTGCCGCCCACGACACGTGTCCCCTGCCGCTGCCCCAGAACCTGCTGATGGACCGGGTGTGCTCGGTGGACCTGGGTTTGAACGACACTGTGTGCGCAAACATCACCCAGCCAGAGTACAAGGAGTATGAGAACCACGTCCAGACCATCGCCAACCGACTGGTGCTCTACAAAAACGTGAGTGCTGAGAAAACACGAGACGGGATGTGTGGGGTTTGTGGGGTTAGACGCGATTTGGTATCCTCGGACCTTCAGTAGTCGAACCTATCAATGATTTACCCTTTGTATCCGTTGTCGCATTGGTTCTTTTCATTTTCCGTCTTTCTAACAAACGTTGTTTTTGCATGTTGTTTTACATATTGTTAGACATGCCCGACAATCCATCTGGGCTCCGTGTCAGTTGTTTACGTTCGGTAGTTGGTGCGATAACCGCAACACTGGCGACGGCTCAACGCTCGCTCGACCGGGACGATATTATCTAACAGTATACAGGGCATTCGGTCGAGCGGGAATGACTCGACTGTTTTATCCAGGTCTCGTGTGACACTATACACGCGTTGTCGCTGTTAGATGGATACTGGATAGCTGCAAATATCATGTGTAATGTGTTTTGATCGCTGTTAGGTTTTCTAAAAGCATGGCATTCGTCATACATCGATCACGCCTGTTGCTACGCGATCGCGCTTCATCATCACATCATCACACATGACCTACATACGACCGGGGGTACAGTTAATCTGTAAATTGGTAGGATGTGCTTTCATTTAAGGTTAAGACTGTTCACGTTCAGTTCATTCCATTTTGTTAAAAAAAAAACAGGCAGGTCTCCATTGCTCGTATAGGGTAGTGTGGGGTAATTTGAACATATTTTTACGTCTTCTCCGTTGTACCAAATTCCAGCTCAACCCTGGATGAAGAAAAACTGTTTCAGTAGCGCATGTGTCACTTGCTTTTACCATGCAAGCCTCATTTTTCGACGAGCCGAGCATACCTTGAATAGCATAGCATCACTTCTCCACCAAGTCACGGTGTGTTCAAATTGCCCCACCGTGGGGTAATTTGAACATACTGCCTTTACCTGCCATAAAAACGATAGTCTCGCCAGCACCGATGTTGTTTGACCCATAAACGAATAGGCAGAGCAATTCTAAACATACCTTCATTTGAAAAATCAACACAACAACAAAAATAACACTAGCAGAGTATCAATATCTGCACGCTGCACACCGGTCAGTTGACAGAACTCGCCTCTCTTCAATTAACAGATCGTCTATCATCTCCGTTCGATAAAAACTCTACCAAACCTTACTTCATCTGTTATAGTGGTGCCAATCGGAACCTGGACATTCGGAATTCCGATTCTTTATAATGTCCAATTCGGAATTGATTGCACAAAGGTATAGTAGTCTGGACAACATTGGGCGATGGCCTGCCACACTTAAGCATTTTTATCAAGTAATCGTGCGTAACATTGATTGGTGAATGGAAAGCTTGTTAAGCTCTCAATATAATGAACACTTTTCGGCTGGTAAAATTACATGATAAGCAATATAAATGACGGTTTTGAGTGTTGATAGCTGCATAATTTTCGGACATATTTGGACAAATAGTTGAGTTTAACATTTTTGGACGGAAAATCAACGAATATGCCGGACATTAGACGGATATTAGACGTAAATTTTCTAAAACTAGCATCACTTATCTGCTACTGCTTTGGGTCGAAAATATTGGCAAAAAAAAACTGGGAGCGTTGTTTTTTCGGAGCTATCCCTGTCTTCATTGAAATCCTCACACTATGTTCAAATTACCCCACGCTAAAAGTTATTTTCCCATTTTTAAAAACAGGGTTCAAAAGCAAATTTCGTGGATTGAAGGCACTGATTAGGTCATTGTACAACAAAAGCCGTTGCGTATAAGGCGCTAGCAATGCAAGATTTTGCGCTGCAATGAAGTTGCAATGACGTGTTGTTAGGCGTTTATCCTTGCGAAATTGATTTTTTACACTGTGCGTCAACATCTTCATTCCCTGAAACTTTAAACCCCGTTCATATGATAGCCCTTTTAGTTACGATAATTTCTCTCATTGGTCTTATTGTCATGCCACTTATGGATTTCCCGTAATTTTGTGTTATTCACACTATGTTCAAATTGCCCCACATGTTCAAATTACCCCACCCTACCCTACAGCATTCTAGGGTGGTATGCTTTAACTAAGATTCCAGTGTCAAGCCCGCTTTTCGGCACTGCCCGCCCCAAGCAGGTTTCGGCAGGTACCTACTATGACCGACCTTGAACTTCGGAATAGCTCAGCCAATTTTCACATTCTAACCGTGGGCCTCCCATGAAACGATGCGTAGTAAGCTGTTTGTAGATGCGTCGTGTCTCTTCTAAAAACGAAGAAGACTAAGGCGTTTCGTATTCCCAACGGTTTTTGCGTCGATAGCGCGAGTTCTTCTCTAGAAACGCTGCGGAGAAACACTGATCCATAAATTACTGTGTCCTGTTAGGTCCATTCTATCCTATTTCCAAACTATTCGGTGAGAATGGATTCCTACGACAGACGTCATCGTGATGAATTACAAACACTTATCTTGTGTCGACCGGTCGCTTACTATGGGTAAAATGTTCGCCCTATTCGGGCCCTTCCCATCGTCCCATCGCCTTTCACCTAAGTGTGTTGTTTTCAGACGATTTATGCAGTAATTCGTATTCGTTTCGGGCTACACTGAGGTAAAAAAATGTTAAAAACCAAATATTTCCCGAAACGAAATACGAAGCCCGAAACGAATACGAATTACTATCATTTACCTGAGGAAGATTAGAAATGACACTTCGTCAATACACGATTTATGTAAATAATGGGCTTGTCGTTTGGAATTAGCTGTCATCAAGCCTGGTACAACATGACAGGCTTCATACTTATTTGATTTTGCCTTTTGGTGACCTTTGGCGCCTGTTCAAATTGCGCTTTTATTTGACTGGTAGGTAGGTATATCTTAGTTAGCTTTAACACTCCATCCTTTTCAGTCTTTTTAAATCCGTTTTCAATTCATGAAAGAACGTTCCGCGTTCTTATTGTCCTGGAGTTGTCTCACTTCGTAAAGCATGCAAGCAATCAATCCAAACAAAACAATAAATATCCAGCATTTGCTCGTACTTTTGTAGTCCCACGCCACTCACTCACCCCCCCCCCCCCCACCCCACCCCACCCTTACCTTTCTCCGCTCTTTTCTCCCAACACACACTTTCCCTAACCTTTCTCCTCTTTTCTCTCCCCATCAGCTGATCGAGCTGGTTCCCGGCGTGCTGTTCGCCCTGTTCATGGGCTCCTGGAGTGACATGCACGGACGCAAGTTGCCGCTGCTGCTGCCCATGGCCGGCTCGGTGGTGACGTGCGCCGTGTACATCGTGTTCTCTATCGTCACCTCCATGCCGGCGAAGTACCTGCTGGTGGCCAGCGTGCCGACTGGTGAGTGCAGAGAAGTGAAGAATAGTGAACGGCTAAAGAGGATGGGGAGGGAAACGGGAGTTCGGTTAGGGACTGAAGCTGACCCGTGAAGGGAGAGGGCTAAAAAGGAGGGAGGAAGGGAGATATACTCAGAGACGGGCCGACCATTGGGACAGCTGCTACGTAAGATGGACTAAAAAGTGTATTAGCTGCGCGCCTGTGTCGTGTCCTACTCCAGCCTTACTTTTAAATTGATAGTATAGAAGTTGTGTGACGATTCGGATGATTAGTGGTCTGCATTCCTCACTTCCTTCACTCAACCCGGTATCCCTCCGACCACAGCTCTGACGGGAGGCAACACCATCTTCCTGATGGCGGCGTTCAGCTACGTAGGCGACATCACGGGTCAGGAGAACCGCACCGCTCGGCTGGGCGTGCTGGATGTCTGCTTTCTGGGACCGCTGGCCATCGGGTTTGTGGTGTCTGGCGCCGTGGTACAGAGACTCGGGTGAGTGTGGGTGAGAGGAAGGGAGGGAGAGAGAGAAAATGAGAGGGGAATAGTGAGGGAGAGCCGACTAGAGTGAGCTATTGATTAACTGAATAACTGAGCGAGCGAATGCTGGGATGTGAATGTGTGAAAAACGGTCATCCTAGTGGCGTTATCAGTCATCTGAAGTTCATCGGTCCTCTATTAGATTTTTTGGATCTCACTCCCTTATCAGGTAACGTGGTTTGCTAAACGGATCCACGAGTGAATTTCGATTTAGGATGAAAGCTGCTGGCTTTCCTGGCTTTCCAACAGCCAATTTTCAAAATCGGCGCAATCATAACACTAATAGCAACATGGTCAGACCCGTTATACATGCGACATGGTCTTCATCTACATTCTTCGAAATTGTCTGTACCTGACGTCTTTATAAAAAAATGACACCTCGTCGACATTTGAAATAGTTCTTTCAGCGTCTTCCATTCCCTTTGAAGATGACTGGTACAAAACGGAGGTTTTGTGTCATGTTTTTGTCTGTGATCTGATAGTGTCACTCACGCCTTATAGATGACTTGTCTCGGGTCATGAGGAGTTGGTCATGCAAGAAGTGTTCGTAGAAGTCAATTAAATGTCGTCTTATGCCTGGCGAAGCGGACACAGGGAATGCTAGGTCAAAATCAGAATCGGTTGGTCTTCTGAGTATCTGATGCATATGATCTGATGCATCTGGGGTGCATCTTGGCTCAGGAAAGTTGGGCGACCAGTGACCCAGAAAGCAAAGCTACTTAATGTGTAGCTGTACTTAATGATAAATGGGCCGCAAGTGTACTCCTCGCTTCAGATACACGTTCAACTTGGTGTTTTTTTTGTTTTGTCGGGTTAGTTGTATAATGTTTTGTTGATGATAACTCATGTTCACAGCCATGGTGTCAACAGCTATTTGCGATCCATGACCCGTTTAATTTGTCTCGACTTGTTTATCGTGTGACTGGAGTTTTTAATGCTGATTAGTTTCACTCCCATAATTACGTGATGAGGCAATTCGTCATACGTCCAAACGTTGACAAAAAGACACCGTAAAACATCATGTGAGCCTCTAAACCGGCCAGCGCAGGTTCATTTGGCCTGCCTCTATCAGAGTTCGCCGCTGCGCGCGTAACATGACTCACATTACACCCCCTCCCCTCTCCACCGCTCTCCCCCTCTCCACCGCTCTCCCCTGCCCCTCCCCGCCCGCTCCCGGCCTGTCACAGCCTCCCTCTAACTCCGCTCCGTCGGTGTCCATTCCCAGGTATGTGCCTCTGTACTGCGTGGCCGGAGGACTGAACGTACTGGTTCTACTCTACGGCGTGTTCCTGGTCCCTGAGTCGAGGAGTTCGGAGGACCTGGCCTCCGCGGCGGCTGCGACTGGATCGGTACGTGGAGAGAACGGACGGACGAACGGACGAGTGGGCAGGCGTTTGTTTGTTTGTCCGGACGGACGTACATATGTATTATAAGTGGCTGCTGGGAAGGCCAGATCTTCGGCAGTCTTTCAAATATCCGATCTGATGATACCGCGCTCCGTTAGAGTTCTTCCTGTAAGACTGTCTGCGTGCCACGGTTGGTTGTTCTGGGGAGCAACTGCGCGTGACAGCTATATCATGTCGCGTTGACTACGCCCAAGGCTATCAGCATGCTTTAACCAGTATCTGTTTTGCACTACGCAGTATGAGCACTCAACTGTAAAGCTCTGGTGGGCGTGGCTTGTCCGGTAGTGCTACATCTCTGTTTCATGTGGAGCTCAGACAGGTGACCTCTCGGCTGTCAACGTTTAAGTAACTAGGCCGCCGACTTTTTGTGAGCTGATTGTATCCTCTGCAATGCCACAGTTGCGCTGTGGCTCAGGGGTGTTAGGTACCTATAGTTATACCCGTCGAGTTGACAAACAGCTGACCCCCCAGCTAACTAATTAGTGCGGCCCTGATGACCATTTACAGATGGCCTCCATTTGCCACCTTCTCGGCGCGGGTGCTGGTGGTGCGAGTTTGTTTTGTTGGCATTGAATGTCAAATGGGGCAGCCCAAGTGTAGCTATGCTGTTGAATTGAATAGTAGGGTTCCTTCGACGAGCTGTGATACACTATATTTAATTGGTCCCGATCACCATCTTCCCTATTGGCCAATTGCTAGCACACAACGTGAAAGGCTGGCGCAACTGCAGACAAGGCTTTCGCCTGGCCTGCAGCTTGCTTATTGCAGATTACTTGTGGCAGATTACTCATTGCGAGAGTAGGAATTTGTATGTGTAAGATAGCACGCCTTGATTATTCGTCATCCAGACCCATATCTTAAAACGAATAATATCAATATTTAGTGAAACAGATCGTGAAAGGAGTAGTAAAAAGTAAATGTCAACAACGAAAACCAATGGTAATGGACTTTATGATGGACTGTAGCAAGCGTAAAACGCAATGTCTTCACTTCCCAGTAAGGCTGCTCAGTGCTCATCAAGCGTGAACGTAATTTGTTTTCCATATTCGGACTGGCTTGTTATTGATGTTCAGATTATTACCATAGTCAACTTTTTGTGGTCCTACGCCTTGAGCCAGCATCGTCTCGAAACCATGATTGGTTGTTGTGTTACGTAACGTCTACTCGAGGTTACACATCAAGGCTGATTCCGAAGTGTTACCGGTTGGCGGGTGTTATGTTTTGTTACCTGAGCAGTGCATTGACCTGTGGAGCTGGCGTCGCTACCCTTGACTTCATAACGTCACTGGTAAATATATCCCAGTGACCGTTGTCCCAGCTTCTTTCAGCCTCGTCCCACCACTATCGGTCCCGTCTGATCCCTTCTCGTTCCTTCCCGTCTTCCATCTGGCCCCGTTCCATCTGCTGCGTCTCGGCAACTTCCATGCCCTGTCTCTCGGATGTCCCCACTGCCCTCTGTTCGTGTCTTATCACCATTCCATCCACGCCATTCTCCATTTAATGCGCCTGTTCCTCGAACCCCCGCCACTCTCTTGTCATGAATTCCCTCCTCCCCATTAACCTCCAAGGACCCGCCGACCTAGCCAACAAACGTCACCGGGGTCCGTCACCGGCGCCCCCCCCCCCCCTCGCGTGTGGTCCCATCTGCGTAAACAGTCCGCTGACAGAACTGTCCACCCCACCTGCCCCCTGCGGGTCCTCCGGCAGGTGCTGAGCAAGCAGAACATCTGTCGCGTAGTCCACACCTGCTTCCGTCCAAGGCACGGCTACAACCGCTCCACGATGCTGCTAGCGATGGCCGGATTCGTGATACACCAGATGACCTTCAGCGGTAATTGGCGCGCCGAAAAGGCGCGGGTGTGTCTCGATGGCGGGCAACTAGTGGCGGATGTGGGTCGTGAGCGACCAGGGAATGGGCTGGGCAGCTGATGCTAGCACAACGGATGGCTGGCTCACGTGGGAAGGAAAGGTTTGACTACGGAGGAAATGGATGGTGATGTTATATAAGACGTCCGTTGGACATGCATAATGCTAATGAGCGTCTGACTCGAAGGATAGATAACATCGATTATTTAATATTACGTACGATTGAGCTGGACTGAAAAGCACTTAGGATATGTAGATGACATGTTCATTTCTGTTAAATATTTTTCTGCGACCCCACCGCTCATTTGAAATGATAGCGTTTCAGCCTGACCTTGCGGGTCGGGTCGCGGGGTTAATGATCTCTTTGTTTCTCTGTCGGCCCCGCTGTTACTACCCAGCATACCTTCATTCGTCCCCGTAACGTAGCCTATTCCAGCCGACCGGTGACCGTAGTGATAATCTCCAGTGACCGGTCCCGTGTTCCAGGGGAGTCCAACATCGTGCTACCGTACGTGAAGCGTGTGCTGGCCTGGAACTACGCCCAGTACTCCACCTACGTTACCGTCGTGCTGGTCGTCTGTATGTTCTGTGAGTATCGGTTGGTATGGTTAAAAATCGGATGGGATCGCAAAATCTGAATAGACTCGGTATGAGGTCAGATGGGATCGCATATCGCTCTCAATGCTGTCAGGTCTGTGTGTGCCGACTGTATAGGCAGTGACTGGAAATATGCATCGTTGGTATTTTTCATTGTATAAGCCGTTTGTTCAAAGCATATGTTTTATAAGTGATCGTTTCACGCACCAAAGGGGCAAGGTTACGCTGCCTGCTATCTAGTGACAAATGATATTTTATTTGCGTCCTGGCGTGATCACTCAAATTATACACTTTTTAGATACATCGATCTTATTGTGTTTCCCATCTACATATGTTTTGTGTCCGTGTTTTATGTTTAAAGGTTTAGTTTTCATACGGTTGTCGAACAGCACTGTGGATCCGAAGGTTGGGACTTTAATTGTGAAAAACCGCCCGCCCGCCGCAAAACGCAAAGACCGCAAAACGCACGCTCAAAACGCTAACGCAAATGCTGCAAAAAAAAAACAATCGCCCGTCCGCCGAAAACCGCAGAAAAAAAACGCAAAAAACGTTTAAACGTTTAGTTTTCATATCCCAAAAACTTCAGTAAGTGAAGGCTGTTTTTGTTAGCATTATGTAGTCAATACCTTTTTTGTTATTGGTTCATAATTTGGGATTCGCTGTAATGGTTTACGAAATAATCAACTGCATTAGCAAAGTAGCATCCCACGACGAGTTTTGCTCCCCAGCTGTCATCAAGTCCTGACGGATACGCTGATGCTATTGATATGCACAGTACTCATCCACCACAGTTACCTACAATCCCAAGTCTTAATCCGAGTCTTCCAATCCGCTGTTGAACTAGAAAATCTTTTGGACTTGTCCTTTCTTACTTTTCTTGCCTTCCCGGACATTTACCTGCCCTGGATTCACGCCCTTCCCTGTTGGTACTGTGTCCATTCAGTTATTATTTATCCCCGGCCCTGGCTCCACAGCTGCCAATAGGCATTCCCCAATGCCGTTGCTGACCTCACGGTGCTGAGTTCACATTCGCATCCCCGGTGAGGTCTGTTGTTATCCTCTTCTTACCAAGCGCTCACATTCTCCTTCCCCGCGCTCTCTCAGATAACCTGGTGGTGTTGCCGCTGCTGAGTTTTGTCTGCGGCATCCGCGACTCGACGATCGGCGTGGTCTGCTCTGTGATGCGTGTCGTCGGCCTGGCGCTGCGCGGTGTCGTCACCACCACCCGACTCTTCTATGGCGGTATGTGGGGGTTGTGTATTGACAGTGTGCACCTGCAGTGAGACGAGACTCGGACTGATCTTTAGGGTGAACTCAGTTGACTCAACTAGAGAACCTCCCCATGATCAAACGTTGACAGGACAGTGTATTTTGCCTCTCTGGGAAATTCCCATCGGGGACTTAAGCAGTGTAATTGTTTCAATTCGTCCAAACCGGTATATTAGTGGTCCCAAGATAAGGCTTCCAGAGAGTAGTAGCTCCGATGCTGTTAGTACCCTCGCCTCTCTCCCACTGCAATGGGACTGGGTGCACTCAGACCGAGTCTGGTAGCTGGGATGCTTTGACAGCTTGCAAAGCTGTCTGTCTGACAGAAAATATACATATTTAGGCCGCCCCCAAGCTTCTGGTCGCTGGAACCCTTATCTTGCGGCCAATAGTGCAGCACCAACCTTCGCGATGCAAATAGCTATCCTGTCGAGTATGTCTGTCTCCCCAGTGGGTCACGCGCCTCTGCCCGACGTGGGTGATGCTAACTTCTGTTGATTTGTTATTACAGCCACTCTGCTGGGCCTGCCCGGCTCCCTGGTCAGCGTTACACTACGCTCCATTATCTCCAAAAACGTCGCCAAGGAGGAACTTGGTACGTGTCTACAGGGCGTCCCGTCCCCAGGAACCTCAATCAATAAGGGCTGAGGGGTCGCCTTTGTTGTTGTTTGCGTTAGCAATGTTATCATTATCTAGTCAACACCGTTAGTCGACATTGTATGTAATGAAAGTGTTTGTATACCTTGATTACAGCAAGACCTTTTCTCTTGTTTTCCTCACATTTCTGCATCATTTCAGAGTGTCCTATGTAGTCACAGGTGTCCATGCTTTATGGCTAATGTTTTCAAACCAGCCCGCTTATGACGCGTTGAAACGATCACTTGCTTACGGGGTGTGCCATTATGATTCTCCATTGATCTCTCACTTTTACCAACGTGCTCAAGGGATCTCCCATTCCACCTCTGACCAGTTCCTCCCGACGTTCGCCCGCCCATGTCTGTTTCGCCCCGTCAGGCGTGGTGTTCTCCTTCCTGGCGGCGGTGGAGTCGGTGTGTTCCGTGGCCACATCGTCAGCGTTCCTGCTGCTCTATAACGCCGTGCTGGAGCACGGGCCGGGCGTCGTCTGGTTCATAGCGGCGGGAATCACGTCACCCACCCTGATCATCCTGCTGTGAGTACTGAGGCTGCTGTCCTACACTGCATTGAGCATATAGGGCAGTTCACAGCCCACAGTCCCACTCACTTAAACTCAGAGAACTTAGAGTTCTTGGTGTACCGTAAACCAGTGAGGATACTGAACTGACTTATGACCAAGGTTTGTATCTATAGGATTGCAGGCATTCCTGACATTACACAGGGTGATGTCTCGCGAATGTCTGTTTGTTTGTCACTGTTGTGCCTGTTTATCTGTGCCTGTCGTGCTCTGGCAATGCCGTGTTATCTGTTCATTGTGAGAGCACTGTGTTTTGACGCATATTGTTGGAGGAAATGTGTTTGTTTTGGTGCTGCTCTCCATTTTGCATGTTCAGCCTTTCTCACTCGAACTGTTTTTCCACTGGGCTTTTTGGTGGTGGGTTTCGATGATGGAGACTCTATTTCTTCTCTGAATCTGTTTGAACCAAACTAACTCGATCAAGAGTCGCCGGATTGCCGCAAACTTCTGTCACTCCGATTGGCAAACAACGCCACCTACCGACAACTGAAGCGCCATCGCCGCGACATTGGAGATGTGTCGACTCTGCGGACAGCATTTCGTTCAAGTTTCCTTGGATGCCGAAAATTGAGCAAGTCTGGATGCTTTTACATGGTCTGTTGGCTCCTCCGATAAGACAGAACTATCAAGCTATCCGCTTCTCAAGAACGCGCATGCAAGATGTCATCGTCAGACAACGACCACTCGTCGTAAGGAAAAGACAAACTGTCCAGTCTACAAACTGGACAGTCTAGTGAACAAATAAAATGTCTTCCCTTCCACCTGTTTCAATAATCCACTGCTGAAGGCGGATGCCTTCAACATCGGATTATTGAAACACCACCGCAGACCTGAATTAGGTGCACACGTACAACATAGTATCATAAAACATTGGTTAGGAGCGGCTGATTGAAGTTAAGACGTCGGTTGTTTAAGAAGTTAGGCAGAAGGTAAAAACACAGCCGCACTCAGCAGTGCTCGAGAGACATGAATAAAGGTGTACAGTTTCTGAGGGTATGCGAAGAAAATAACGCCAGACTTTAAAAGCTCATAAATATTAAGACAGTTGCCTAACCTACACTAAGTGGTCTCATAATTTATCGTAGCAAAACAATGACCTACAACACATTACATCAACAACAATGTGGCATGAGTTACGACTTTGCGTAGCATATATATTTTTTTTTCAAGCAAGATGAGGGGTGCTACATCACATCGCGGAGTATGATATGAACGACATAATGTGAGAGTCCACCTGCCTGACACTCTTCCCCAGACGTAATGTTAGCGCTATGGTAGCATCAATCGTATTTTGGTCCGTTCATGTAGAGCCAAAGCAGTGTCCGAGCTCAGCGGGCCGTCGAAAGGAGAAACAGGTCGAATAGCTCAATGGAAGAGGGTAGATAGGACGAAAGCGCGGCGATGACGAGGCGTCTGTTCGTAAGGTACTATAAATATAAAATAACTGTAGTCTGATGGACAGTCGGGCAACATTTGCTGCATTGTGAATTCGTCTATTGAGCGAATCGTTCATGTTTAATTAAGTACGTAGTTTATTATTTTTCTAGCGTACTTTGGGATACAATCATGTGCTTTATGAATATATGGGTGCTGTTGCCAATGGCATTGCCGTTATTTGGCACATCGGGTTATTTACGGCATAGCTTATTGAGCTGGTCAATATGAAAGGGAAGCACGCCGACAGAAGGATTAAAGTTGTTGTGCCGGAAAAGAATGCCTACCACGCAGTGAGTTGAGGGCTTTGGAAGGGTCCAGCTAGCATAATGCCGGTCCACTGCTGAGGCATCCGCTGAATTAATATTCTAAAGATAGACCGTCGTTTAAAAGGGTCCGATGGTGTACCGCTGCCTCAAATTCGTATCCATATTGGAACACAAATTGACAATTGTGTGGTTCCAAGCCATTTACCATGTCAATTTCATCCGACGAAGATTTACTGCACGTTATGTAACCGTCAGGTGGCTGAAAAGAGACTCCCAAATGATCGCATTGTATCGCAGAAGACCCCCGAGAGTTGAGCGTGCGCTAGGTCTGACACATAGTAAATCGTTTTATTATCAATATTCTGGGCAGCGGAGCGATAATAAAATGTGCAATGCTAACAACGGACATGGGGGTTGCAGAGACTCAAGTTTTGTTACACGCAATACATCTGCTTTATAGCTGCTTGCTAAGTCGTAGCGAAAAGTAAGTGCAACAGTACAATCCAAATAAATAGATAAATAGCCCACCCATCTTACGAAACAACCAGCACGACAGCATCGGAAAATGTTAATTCGAAGGGCTGAACTTATTTGAACTCAGAACGCGATATGTCTAGAGAAGAATCAGGTGTGGATGTTCCGAAGTCAACACCGAACACACGATTATATTCAACAATACAGCAGGATAAACTGATGGAACTCCGAATAATAACCAATTGTACAGCGCTAAGCATAAACCAGACTCGATACAGAATACAGTAGAGATAACTATCGACTATCACAATGCGCACACAGAAACGCACGAAGGTACTTCTGCCTCTATGAAATGCACGACGTTCAGGAACTAATCGAATACGCGAACCGACCTCCAGAAACGCACCTCTCGGACCTCTAGCGCCGTTTTAATTTTATCAGCACCGATTTCAGCGATTATCGTACAACCGAGCAGGCCCTTGGGCTCACGCCACGGCCTGTCTGCCTCCACCAGGCATCAGGAACCAGCGGTCAGCGACGGTGACAGGACTTCGAGACAGGACAGGACAGGGACAGGAGGTCATGCTACTTGTCCACGGGTTTGTGCTGGCAGGGTCAAGCTGCGACCGATTCAGGCCTTAACAGGCCGAAACGGTACAAGGGAAGGTTCTGTTGAGAGCTTCACCCTGTTTGCTGAGCGGAGAGCCCTCAGCCTCAGTCGAGAAGTGTGCTCAGTATACCAAGTCGGTCTCTACTGAGAACGTCGTCCCACTCTCATATGAGTGTTGTTTCCAGCCTCTCTGCTGAGAGCGTCTCTTGGTCTCTGCTGTGACTATCACTCGGTCCCTCCCGCGAGCGTGGCTCGGTCACACGCCGTGAGACAACGCTCGCACGGCTCGACCCGTCTGTCTATCCGCGCCTCGATCCGTCGGCTGACGGTCGGCGTGTCCATGTCTGGGGCGTTTCAGGGTGCTGACAGCGCGCGACCTCTCCGGTACACCGACTGAGATCAACTACTACACCCAGCACCAGCAGCTGCCGGAGTGGCAGCCGCTGCTGAAGCCGCTGCCGCTCGGCCAGGGGAAGCAGCAGGCGCGGGACAAGACCCGTGCGACCGCCCGCTACTACGGCCACAGCGACTTTGTGGCGTTTGATGGCGTCAATCGACACGCCGAGAGGCTGTGAACCAGACTGAAGGTTGTGGAGTGTGTGCCTCGAGAGAACAGGCGGTGGAGACCATGATTGCGAATCTATAACGTCAGCTGGTTGATACTGATGTGCATTAGATCCGTCCATAGACACTTTGAGTGGCAGCTGACGTCGTGCTCTCTTTTGAGACACCCGCTGTTGGTAGGCGATTTTTGCATCGCTACTGCACTAGCACGGTGGTACCGGTGACTGTTGTGATCGGAAGGAGACCTCTGTGAGCTATTTTTGTACAATGTAAAACGCAACGGTTGAGTAGATGCAAAGATGTAATTGGACGGTGATGAAGGCTGCTCTCTTTTGTTTTCACCTCGTGCTCGACATGACACGTAGTTTAGGTTTTAATCGTTCGTGGTGTCGACATTTGACGCACAAAAGTAATGGATACTTGAGAGGAGGCTACTTGCACTTAGCGCTCAACATGTACTGATTGCTCTTCCGTCTTTTTATTTTGAATACATGTGTGCCAGTTTTGTTCTTTTCATGTGTTTTGCATGTTACAAGAGAGATTTTAGCTTACTTAGGGTTAGCTTTGTATCGAAAGCGATTTTCGGCGGTGGTTTTCAACTGGAAGAATAAAACAGCTAAAGCATTCGGAATGTGCGCTATCGATTGTGACATCTTGGTAGGGTCATAACGCGGACAGTACGCCGCTCGCTCCACGCTCTCACTCGCTTACGTATGTCATTATCCACTCAGGTTATGGGCTGTGTTATTAATGCTAAGCAATTAGCATCCCAGTATAAACGCCACACGTCATTGTGCAGAAATACAAGGCTCTTATCTTTGAATGTAGTAATGTAGCGTATGGCAATGAGCGAAATGCGTATCGTGTATCGTTGAACTGTCTGGTATCGCGATCTAATAATACACTCGAGAATATCTTACGAGACTTTCGGACTGGGGTTTTTCGATAGGCTGGACGCGGTAACTCGCTATGTTGCATTGCTATTGACTTGGTTGTGAATGTGCAAAGTCTGTTCTTCAATGTGTGCTAAATCAATCTCGTCTTGCGTATGATTTTTGTGTACTATACTTTCTATAGAAATATTTTTTTTTATAATATATCTACGTACAGCCCACCGCTAAAGTAATGTAGGGTTTTACCAATCTCAACGGTTGGCTTTGACTGGCGATTGTTTAATGCGGAGTGATCGAAAAGAAGATGTCAATAGCTAAAGTTGCAGCTGCAAAGGTGACGATACATACATATAAGCTACATTCAAAGCTTCAATGTAGTCTGGCTAATCGTTCCTAAGCTTCAGAAGCAGAACATACCCATGACTGAAACCCCACATTACTTCTGCTGTGGACTGTACATAGATGGGCGAATGGCTGCGCTATAAGGCGGCTGCGTGTTGTGTATGCTGCTTCCAGGGCTTTGTGTCGCTTCGTATTCTGTCGGTAATTTCACACAACCTTCCCAGTGAGCAATAAACATCACATTGGAATGCGACTCGGGTGCGACGTGTATGTGCAATACTGGTAAAAGTGGATATGCGTACATTTGTTGCTTTTTTACATCCACACAAGAGCAAAAAAAAAAAAAACACGCGGATGCCTATTAATTGATCGCTGTGAACCGCATGATTAGAAGTGTTAGAATTGGCCATTTTCCACTGTAACGCCCCCGTTTGCTTGTGGTTGGTGGAATACACGATCTAATGATAAATACCGAATAATAATCACTGACATAGGTGAGGGTATTGTTTGCGAAAAGACATCTCAATATAATATAACGAGTTATTCTACGTTCGAAGAAGATGTCTTGAATGTCACTTTATAGTTATTTGACCTACGTACCTAAAACAAAATTTACTGTTGCCCATTGTCATGTAAGTCGCATCGGCCCGTGCATGACACATTGCTCCTTGGTCCTTAGGAGCAATGTGCTGGCTGCCTGCCTGGCTGTTGGCGTACCGCAGTATCCGAGGCACACTGCGGCATTTGTTACTATGCCTTGAGTAGAAAAAAAAGCAATCGTACGCGGATAAGCGGCTCAAGCCGATTTTCTGACAACACAACGAAATTGATTCAATCGCATGTAAAAGGTGATCAAAACACTCAGTTCAATGCAAATGAAGCCAGCCACTTTTCACTTTCACCTACCACCACATTACACAATACACAAGTCACCTGATAATATTGGATAAGTGATGAGCGATAGGCTGTAATTGACCCACTGATTCCGTATCACTCATGTACCTTTCACGCAGGCGGGTCTTCTTTCTTCTGGTCCCTGAATGGCTGTCAGTGGTGTTTTGTCTCTGCCTGCGTGGCAACCTATTTGTTAAGTTATGTGGACATGTTGAATTTAGTGAGCCGTCATATTTTAATAGCGGTGTTAATGGAAGTCATTGTGTGTAGTTTTATTATTATGAAATATATGTTTATTGGCGGTGCAGCTTGTTTGCATTTTGGAGATGAAAGAAGAGAGAATGGAGCGGGCTTAATCAGGACTGAAAGCTTTGTCAATAGTCTGTGCTTTCTCGCTGGGCCGTCTCTTTTTGGCGTGCATGTGAGCTGGAAATTATATTAGAAGTGCGTCGCTGTAAGGTTTTATAATGGTCAGCCTACTGAACTTGTAACTCAAGGGCACGTGTCTACTGTCGAGCTTTCCCATACATCGATTATGCAGTTCAATTGCCCTCAGTTATGCTTGTTTTTACCTCAATTAATGAAGGTAATTACTCCAGGTTATCACTCGTCAACATGTCTAGTCACATCCGCATGTTTGTGTGCGTTCCCATGGTGAACTTTCATAACGCTTACGCACTCATTTACTTACATAGTACCCGATGTGTATGAACTCAATGCTTGGACATTGCTTGTGATCGCTCAATGCCGAAGGTGTGATGGTTGACGAAAATAACGGTGTTGATGTTTGAGTTGAAAGAGCGCCCAGGCTATGTCGCAGAATGCATCAGAGAAAAGGCAATGGCTGGAAAATGTAGTGCCTGGTTTTGTTGAATGTGTCGAGTCTGTAAGATGCGAATATGTAGTTTTGTGTTCAAACTCTGTCTAAAGGCTGTGTATCTCTTCATTTTTGCTCTGCACTCTACCGCGACGCCAGAGTCCAGTGCTGTGCATTTGTTCCAATGTTGTGTTTTGGTTTCCGAAATGTGTGTTGGATCCTATGCTGAGAATGGGGTCCCGTGTTGTGAATTTGACCCAGTGTTGCAAACAGGATCCGATGTTGTACACAAAATTTCCAGCAGTACATTTGGTATCCTATCATGTCCTTGGTCTCGCACTGTGCTTTGAGCTCTGTACTTACAGTATTCCGTAATCGAAGGTTTGTTGTCAATAGTTAAAACACTATTCTTAAGAATTGTGTTTTTCTATTGAAAAACAAATCTGAGTTCCCTCACAATTTGGCAAAAGCTTATAGCATACTGGGTGGCGGCCGGCGGATGGTGTGCTCCTTACTTTGTTTCGTAATCCATGCTAAGTAAAGTGTCGTCATGGATGAGATAACACTATTTCACCCATGGTGTCGTACAAAAACTCGGTTCCGGTGTGTTGGTTCCCCACTGCGTTCCGTATTGCACACCGAGTGCTGTGTTCTCTGACCGATCCGCCGTTCCGTTTCAGCTGGTGCGCCTACCGCGAGCGTCGCGGTCAGGTGGGCTACAGCCAGGTCATCAGCGAACAGGAGGCAAGGGAGGCCGAACGGGACGCACAGCGACTGGCTGAGGACGACGCCAGCGACACAATCATCTTCGAGAACTGAGGTGTGGTAGGAGGACGGCGTGTTCAGCGACTCAGAGCTCAGCCGGCGGCGCCGTGGGGAAGGAGAGGCACCACCTGTCAGTAGGGAGCACAAATGGCCGCCGACCTGACCTCGGCTGTGAGCGTTGGCAACCATCATCTCCGGCGGGACGCACTTGACCGATTTCATTCTGGTAGGATTCCTCCTCCTACTGCCTTCTCTGAGGTTGTGCCTCACTGGCTTTGTGCCTATCTCTGCCTCTGTTCCTCACAGGTCATGTCTCACTACATCTGTGCCTCTTCACAACGGTCGTGGCTCACTGCCTTAGTGCCTGTCCACACCGCCACACCCTGAGTATGGGCAGTGGCCACCCTGACAGGTGCCTATCTGACGGTTCTGTCCGCCGTGACTGGGACTAGAGTAATAGTTGTAGCATTTAGTAGACGTCACGAGTGGCGTAGGTAGGCTTTGGTATTAGACATAGAATGACTGTAGTCTGATAAACCGCCATCCGTTTAGGGGGTGGAGGCTGGCATTACATGTAACTAGGTGGGTGGTGTGTGGTGGTTGGGCTTTGCTGCCTAGTGTTTCTACAAATCGTGATAGCAGCTTCATATCGTTTTTATTAGGTTTTGCCGTTGTTTTTTGGTCTGTTTCAGTGTAGGTAAAGTACTCTTACCTAGGCAAAGTAGGGAACGTTCTTTTCGCCTCTAAGGTTAGGGCATTTGCTAAAATTGCATAATAGTAGGGTGAATAGTAAAGAAAGCCTCACGCCGGATAGAGGTCATACAATATAGAGCAATCCCTCTTACATAACGCATGTTTTTTTATTTTATACAGACCTAGATAGCTGCTTTTAGACTCATTCACTCTGCTAGGTCATGACAATGATATAGCTTGAGGGAAGGGCTCGTGCCTCAATGCCTGTACGGTATTGACACTCATATTCTTTTGTAGGTTGTGATATAGCATTTCTAGTGAATCCGCTGTATATCGATGACTGATGTTTCCCGTTGCATGTCTTACTGCGCGATGTGATTGGTGGCGAACGAACCGAGTTCTGTTGATTGCAGCGAGTCTTCCATCAGTCGATGCATGGATTGGCGTGGTCATGAATGTTTCTGCATGAATGTAAGGCACGTTGGTCGGTTCGATGTTCTGTGATGAGACTTCAGTTATAGGCTGTACAAAAGTGACCGCGATCGAGGTAGTCGCTGATACCGTCAGCTCAATTTACATCTATCGATAAGCAATAGTTCATGCTTCATACCTCGTGCAGTGTTCACTCCTTGGCTCGGTGATAATCAAAGACATGGAATCACTGTCGTACGCGACGTTGGTGCCTACACCCATATACCCGTGCTGAACAAATAGATTGATGGTGATCCTTTCTCTACACTCCTAATCAGTTTGCTAGTCTCAACTGAACTATCCTCAACAGTCAAAGACATAAGTTTAAGCATAAACTCTGTTGACCGTGTTAGTTGTACATGTTATGATTTTACACAAAACTCCATCCGTTACAGTCCTCCGAAACGTGTGAAATACGTGCTATGGTACTGTGCTATGATTGCTGCTGAATGAGTGAAGTTGTATTGGAAAAAGTCGATGCGTGATTGAAACTGTGAAGCGATGATCGTGTCATGTTGCATGACCTTAGTGTGATTTTAATGTGATTTCTTTGCTTGCATTTATGTAATGTCTTTGACATTATGTCTGACAGCTTAATTTTATGAAACGCACCGCATATGTACTGAAAAATGGTCTTATATATGTTGTAAAAAAATGGATTTCAGGACCGTTAGACGTAACGGCTAGTATTGCATAATCTTTCACAGTTTGATTCACTCTACTGTGTGATAAGGTGCTCACTACTCAACACATGATATCTATTGTTTACGCCCACATATCTTAATATCACCCATGAAGTGGTTTGGATGGAGACAGTGAATGTTTGACATCATTCGGGGCTCGACTTGTATCCTGTTTGTCTTGACACTGATTTTATTCGATATACCACGTCATAATATTGAACTTTGAAGTGCGATTTGAGAATGATGTTCTTATGGGTTGCCGCATTGGTGAAAGTTGTCACTGAATCTGAAAGCGAGCTGATGATGAGCAGTCAGGTCGGGATATCGCCAAATGTTTAAATGCATTATGTCTCGCCACAAAACCGTCCCATTACGCCTCAAAAGGAGCACTACATGTCCGTTTCTGACATAAACTGACTGAACCGTCAGGGGACTCTACCGAGGCACCGACACCACTGTCTACCATGCCAGAAGCCTCCGTCCCGGCCAAGCAGTGTCGTCTGTCTGACCGCGAGGGTCACGTGATGTAATTTGGAGTATCGGCACAGCGCACGGCACTGTGGTGTCATGTTGGGAATGACCGTCTGCTAGCCCCCCCCCCCCTCCCCTAAACGTGGGTGGATAGTGGATATGTGACGTGTGCCCCCTGGGGGTCCGGAAGCGGTGGGGAGTATGTCTTCAAAAAAAAATATTGTTTAATAAAATTTCTTTCATCGGGGGTGTTTTTCTTTCCGAGATGGTTGCCGACCTGCGCCGTGCTCTGGAACAACCTCAGGTGAGTGTTTTCGGCTGGTAGATCCTCAAATGGTTGGTTAATGAGTTGATTTTTCTTGCTGTTTGATTTCTCTCTTGTTCAAACGTAATTACACACATATTTCCAATTGCTGATCGGTCCGTTGGTTTCAAGCTGACCGATTCCTTTCCGCCACCGTTCCTTGCGCCTGGGGCTCGTCACAAACAATATTTATAATGAGGCTGGCTTGTCGCTTGTCAACATATAGTCTTCACTGCCTAGGATGGTTTCTGTCTCATAAGGAATTTAGGACACGGATGTCTCCCCAAAGCATATAATTTTGATGCCTCCCTTGAGGACATAACCTGAAGCCACCATCTGATACCTGATAGCTACCCACCATTCTCTCCCTTTCTAATGCCTATCATCCCAAGATAATAGAGTACATCCCCATTTAATGTCGCCTTCAATGCTGAGATTAGATCTCCCGCTGGTCCTTACACTATATGACGCATACCTCAATCTCCCTCAGACTCACTCTCTTTGTCATACCTCTCTCATCTCACTACAATAAATTTGATCCCGCGTCGACTTTTCAGTCCCTCCCAGCAATTGTTCTAACTCCCTCCAGCGGTACATATCAGGGACAATAAACGCAATTTGTTCAATAGACTCCGTGATTAGTGTAAATTTCATCTAAGCTTACTCTTACCTCCCAACGACTTATCGCGCCCCATTCCAACATTGGAATCGTGTGTGCTCTTCCTAGCACCTCTTGGGCTCCTTGACCCAATATCCTCGAACACCTACATCACTTGACCCTGATTACTTGTCTAAAGGTGCAACGCACGTAGCGATTACATTATTAGCGTTCGTCGATGGGTGTGATTGGTTCAATCAATCTCTGCCGGCCCACTCTCTTCGAACACCTACATCATTTGACCCCGATTAATTGTCTAAAGATCGACGCGAGTAGCGTCAGTTATTAGCGTTCCTCGGTGGCTTATGATTGGTCCGTCAACCTCTGCCGCTCACGGCACATCTCTGTTTCCCTACTAAAACCCCGCGGCCGGACGTTGGTTACTGACCCTTGCAGCCCTTCTGTGAGAGACTGTCTTACGCGTTTTCACCTAACGGACCGGTGGACACAAGCCTGCTACCCCGACGACCGCAGTCTCACTGGGCTCATAGACAGGTACCTACTCAGTACTCTCACGCAGTCATGGCACTCGCAAGTGGCGCCTTCGGATCATTGACCGGTGTGATTCGAAAGACTCCATGACTGAATCTATCCTGCAATTTTATCCGACGCCGTGGAATTCTGTCCTGCAGATGTGTGTTCAAGCGCGTTAGCGTCATGAGTGATGCATGCTGCGATACTTCCGACGGTGGACTTAATTCACTTACCTCATCCCGGCGGTATTCTCCTCGCCTCAACCTCTATCATTTCGTATTTGTCACTCACCTCGGGCGGCGTGCTCTATCGCTCTATCTCTCTCTGACTCACCTCTCAGCTTGGGCGTCTTATGGCGTTCTTCGTTCTGATATCTGCCTAACATACTTACTTCTTCCGTAACGTGAGACAGTTCCAATCCTAGTAGACTTAGACGTATCAGCAGAGTCAAAAACACATGAAAGTGTCGCAACATACCTCCTCTTCGGCTAGCATCCATCCTTAGATCTGTTCCTCCTTGTGTAATTCCGGTTTCAATATCTATCGACTACTTCAGAGTCACTCCTTCTGTATCTCCTTACCTGTCTGATCCGTAGAATCCCTTCAGTCCATGTGCGCACCGCTGCGCGGTACGAGTCAATTGTTACCCGCGACATGAACAAAAAAAAATCATTTGATAGAGGAATCTGCGCCGCCAAATACTCAGACCATCTACTACTCATTTCATCTACACGATATTTATGCCTATCATCCGAAACGCCTCCACCGTAGCTTGCTATATTCACTCAGTGACGTCATATTCCAGGAAACAGACTGTGTTTACACTTGTTGATCAGTAATGACGTCATAAGATCGTGTCGTCGGCGGGTTGGTACATCCTGAATTCTCATCGTCTAACCTTGGACACGCCAACTTTTTTGGTCGGAATTTCAACTTGACTATTCTGAGTGTTGCCTGTGATTTAATGAAGTAATTCTCGGTAGTGCCCAATCATTTGTGATCATGAATATTTTATTTGTGGATTGCTGTCTGGCGTCCCTCGCCACGTTGTCGCAAATTTCTCTGGGGTCGTAAGTATTTGCATCAAGGGAACTCAGGTAGTGCGCCGGATTAGTCTCAATTTGGCATTTCGATTAAAAAAAAAAAACAATCCAACTCATGTGATTTCATGTTATCTTACTGAACCGATTTATGAGAGTCAATTTTATAATACAGATTTTTATTGACATACTCGACCAGATGATTTATTAACTTGCAATTGACATACTCGACCAGATGATTTATTAACTTGCAATTGACAATCGACTTGTGGTGTTCTAATTTAAGGAAGCTCGGTTTGCCAATTGCTAAGTTGTGGATAGTACACAAATTTAGGCAAATGTGGAATCCAATTATTCGAATGGGAACATCAGCAATGGGAAATGGTTAAATCAAATCAAAAAGGGGGGGCTCTGCCGATTCAACCATTCAGACAAAAAAAAAAAAAAAAAAAACAAGAGCGGTAACTTATAATAAGCTAATGGGAACTGGGCATTGGAGAATGGTGCTAATTTTAAACTAAACTGATGGCTCGGCAAAGACTAGACTGGTATAATCATCGTTGTATCTGTTCCGTCACCTGACAAAGTTTGTCATGTTCAATGATGCCTTATAAAATTCAATTCCCGGATATTAACCCTCTTAAGTGAAACCATACTGGTCCGAAACTGTGGTGCTAGCATCCGAGGCCAGATATGAGATCAGTCGTGACTTGTGACTGAGAGGTCAATGGTCATAAGCATTGAAATTCCATGTTTAATAGATCATGTCAATAGAAAGGGATCAAATAACCTTGGATGTTACTGGGAATAATCTGACTTGAATTGGTGCACGTTACTGGTTTATCATCTGAATTTACTAACTGGCATATCCCGCTGACTGAGTGGGTACTCATGCCATTCGTCAGGGTCAGCGGAACGCAAACTAACCAATAAGCTCCTTGCTTCTTGGCTGACGCTTAGGCAAAAGATAGTTTTGAAACAAAAATGTCTGGTATCAAACCTTAATCTGGATCATGGGGTGATCTGCCACAATTTCATATCATCTTTGCATTCTTCAATTTCAACGTATCCCTTCAAAACTTTGTAAGCACAGTTGCCAGTGGCTTTCCACGCCACACATGACATGAGATGAATGTCCTCCTAGCTTGGGTGGCAATGACCCTTGACCTTTTGTTGTACATGTTTGTTAGGGAATGACACTAGAAATGTGACTGGGGTGGGTGTAATTTCCTCACAAGTCCCTGATGCTGCTCAATTGAATCTAACGCCATCTGACCCAGTCATGGTCACTTTCTGTTTTTCAATTTCTAAGTTTTAATGATGCGCGCTCAATCATAACACAATTAGTCTCCCCATTCCTGTTTTAGCCTATAATTGTCTGCTAATCTGATGTTAACCTGACTCGCGATGTAGAGTTTGGTTTCGACTGGCAAAGGTAACCAGTTTCTCCCAGAATTAGACCGTAGAGCTGTTCACCAAGAGTTACTAAATTCTGGTCATATGTGACTGCTGTCTATTTCTCCCCTTTTTGACCACCCGCAAATTTGTCCGTCTTTTCTACTGAGGTCATCGTGGGTCAATCGTTGAAAGAAGGGTTCGTCCAGCTGTCTTAACAGGTAATTTGTTTCTCTCCGCAGGTCCCTATTGGTGCATTGTTCGCGGTGCGGCTGAGGGCCGGTGACCAGCGCTCTTTCTGATCCAGCGGCGAGGGACCGGGTTGTACTCGAGATTCAACTGCCCTTACCGTTGGCCTTATCTGGGTTATATTAACATGACGGTCACTTTGCCTGCTGGTTAAATGAGTTATCACGCCTTACTTGAAAGGACTTGAAGGGTTTCGACAAATTGAACGTAATTACATGCAATGATCTCTAAATGCTAATTCCTTTGAGAATGTGCCCGGCGATCAAAAGCTATCTTGTTTGATTCCCTCATTTGTTAGATGTTGAAACGAAGTTGAAACTCAGACCTTTGGTTTGTTGTTGG